ATGAATTTGCAGTTTGAGCACGCTAAACCTGCTGCCAAACTTTTCTTCAGTGCAACCTTTCCACCTTTCTTGGCACACTGATGCAGCGGCATGTTGATCCTTTAAATGGTAAATGGTGATTGGACTTGAGCATATATAGCGCTTTTCTAGTCTTCTGACTACTCAAAACGCTTGTATACCGCATGTTATACCTACACATTCACACACTGATGGTAGAGGCTGCTCTGTAGTGAGACCATCAGAAGTAACTAATCCCATTCATACACATTCATACGCCGCTGACGAAGCAGTGGGAGCAATTCGGGGTTAAGTTTCTTGCCCAAGGCGTCAGACGCGTTGCTGCAGGAACAGGGGATCGAACTCTCGACCTTCCGGTTGAGAGACGATGACTCTTTACTGTCTTTGGAGCAGAAAGACAAATAATATGTCCATCTACTTAATCACAGAGAGCAGCTCTGCTCAAAATTAATAGAATAAGCAATAGTATGAAGCAAATAAATAAATATTCTCTGCATTATGTTACGGCAGCAACTTGACAAATAATAGCTGGAAAAAGTAACAAAGAAAGAACCAGACATCCTCAAGTACCCTATAACAAATGCCCAGACACTTACCCTTTAGCACTGACAATATACTGAAAATGTATAATCCTTAACTATCAGACAGCCATGGGTTTTTGGGGTCATACAAGACCTAGCAGAATACCTCGTTCAACATACCTCTATGTGTCGGCAGAAGAAGGCTTTGATTTGGGCTGCTTTAATTGTACGTTTGGGCCTCAAAACTCATCAAACTGTCAGAGTTCAACATGTCTGTACAATCAGAATGATGACACAGTGTGTATCTGTTAACACACCGTCAGTGTGTGTTTGTGAGTTAACCCAGTGACTAACGGTCGTCGACAGATATACAGTTGTCAAATGCTTTCAGTGTGTTTCTACAAATACTTCCCTCAGCCCTGCATGTATTCTATGAATTATCTTCATTTGTGTTATTACTGCTTTAAGGTTCAAACAATTCCAAAGTGGGATGGACTTTGACTTTTGCATCACCTTTTGTCTTCCAGCAAAAGTGAGCTACTTTGTTGAGATATTTGACCTTTAAGCATCTTGTGGGACCATGTCACATTATACAAATAAGCAAACATATTTCCAATATTACATTAAGATTTACTTTTTTATTGATTAAATTTCAGTTTTCACACTCTGTAGTCATGCAACACACACATAGGCTGAAGTATACACACACATGCACACAGACAGGATGCTATGGGCATGCACTAAGGGAGAGATGTCAGAGTGACGGAGCGGCCCACAGTGGGCGCTCCTGAGTTGGTGGTGGGGAGGGGCTTTGGTGCCTTGCTCAGGGCACCTCTGCAGTGCTCAGGTGATCTGGCTCCTCTCCAGCTACCAGACCAACTTCCATATTGGTCCGCACCGGGACTTAAACCGACAACCATCCTGTTTCCAACCCAAGTCCCTACAGACTGAGCTAGCATCAGTGTGCACAACAGCCAGTGCACCAAACCACAGTATCTAACAATTATTCTTCTGTTCCTTAAAAAGCTGCGCTCTACTATAACTAGTGATTAATGGCAGTTTTTCCAGATAATATAAAATATTCTGATACGTGTCCTACTTAATGATCCCCACATGATGACAAAGTGTGTGTGTATAATATGCTCTGGGATAAGTATCTGGCAACCGCAGCTTACTTTAACTCCTTATTAATAAAGATGGAGTGAGTAACTTTTTCTGAAAAAAATAAAAAAATAAAAAATAAAGACTTAATACAAAAGTAATTCAGCTCGGGCGCTGGTGGTGCAGTGGTTGGTGCATGCGCCCCATGTACGGAGGCTGTGGTCCTCCAGTCTGGCAGCCCAGGTTCGGATCTGACATGTGGCTTCTTTCCCGCATGTCATTCCCCACTCTCTCTCGACCTGATTTCTGACTCTATCCACTATCCTGTCTCTCCAATAAAGGCATGAAACGCCCCAAAAAATCATCACTTATGGGCCTCCATTCATGTGTGGTGGTGACTGTGTCTGCAGAGACTCCGTCCTCTGCCTGTATTTATATGTTTTGGTTGACTCTGGATGTTTCTGTATGGGGAAATGGTAAGTTTCCCCCAGCCAATGACAGATGAGTTTAGAAGTGGATACAATTCAGCGATTGGTCGTGATTCAAACGTAAGTGGACGAAGCAGCAGAGGAGAGAAAATATAATCACAGTGAGGCAAAATGCCAAACTGATTGAGCTCGTTCCCAAACGAGGTAGAAACTTTGGTCAGCTTTTACCTGCGGACGCGGAGTTGCTCTGCTGTTTGTTGGGCAGGCAGGTGCCAAAAAATGGTGGTAAGCTTGTGCTAGTGGTTTAGGGTCCAGCAGTAAACGTACACGCTGACCCTGCAGTGAGTATGGGCTTCTGGCAGCGCTGAGCTCAGGTGGAGGGACCCAGTTTGAATGTTGTGTTTCCAGCTGCAACGAACCATGCTACTGACTCTACCTCTAATAACAGTATTAGCTGATGTCCTTCAACAGGGTCAACACTGATGTTAAAGCAATTTCTATTCTGAATGTAGGAGACTCGGAGCAGCGATTAGTTGTGTAACATTTTCACTTTATTTGTTAATTGATAAAACATTGAAACTGAGGTGGTGGGATTTTAATGTGAAGAAATGAAAAGGGGTCTCAGTGGGTTGCATCCAGACAGACATGCATTCCCTGAATACTTGTACAATTTGGATCTTTACACCTGCAGTGTTGTTGAGACGACAGAATCATTAAACTGGGTTGAGTCATAAATTGTTTTAGTCTCTCAATGGGTGTTAATGTCTGACACACTGGCTGGGTACATATAGACTGTAGACACACACACACACACACACACACACACACACACACACACACACACACACACACACACACACACACACACACACACACACACACACACACACACACACACACACACACACACACACACACACACACACACACACACACACACACACACACACTTTATTACAGACACAGTTTTGCTTACGTCCAGGTGCATGTATAAACACACCTACATAACTCAGTTTTACGTTCCAGAGTCAGACAGACACAACATAAACATTAAACATAAGCCACACAAACATAAAAGTAACTGCTAGATCTGCCAAACCGTTAAGGATTGATAACAAACTGGACCCAAGTGCAGATTCTTAATAAAAATATTTATTTAAACAAAAAGTCCAACAGGAGCAAACAAGGAGCCACAAGTAAACTGACAAACAACAATGAACTGACACAGAAGGGAAGAAACACAGAGACTAAATAGTTAATCAGACACAGGTGAGACTAACAAGACACAGGTGAAGACAATCAGGGCAATCAACATGAAGGGAAACACACAGAGGCAGGAATACAAGAAACACAGAGGACAACTACAAAACTAAATCATGAAACACTAAAAACACACACAACTCAAGAATGAACAAAACACACTAGAACATAAAGAAACACTAAACACTGAAATACAAAACTAAATAAGACCAAATCATGACACCAAACATGTCATATTTTTCTGTAAGATATCCAACATCCTTTAATATTCACAGATAGCTGAATTTTTTGGAACGTTTTCCAAGTTGTAAAATGTACAGTAAACAAGAACTCTTGTTAATGAGTCAACAAGTGCCTTGTTGACCCAATTGATCCAGATTTTGGATTTCTTTTTTTTTTTTAAAGCGCAAGGTTGCGGAATTAGCTTGTGGCTCTGCTTTTATCGTGAGTGTGCAGTTGGTCAACCAAATTTTCAAACATGCCAGAGATTCATCTGACCGGTCCAGAGCAGCTGATTGGGCCCTCTTTCCACCTGGACACTGGAGACGACGTGCGATTTAGCTGAAATTTATGTCAGACTCCAAAATCAGTCCTGCAACTCAAAAATCAGGTCCGAAGTTTGCATAGTTTAAGGCTGGCATAACTGTTATTAGGCTTCTACAGATTAACTGTGTTCCTGTTGCAAGATCACATTTTTCTGTGTGCTTCCATCATCCCATCTCTGTAATATATATTTTATAATTTTCAACCAAAATTTGGAAAATTCCAAAAAGTCAGAACTTGATTGTTATCCACCTAAAAGTTATAAACACATCAAATAGATGCCAATGTTCTCGGAATAGCATCATTAAAAAGCGTATGTGTGGAGGTTATGGCATGAAAATCCCAGTGGATTCATTAGTGGAGTTCCACATGTCATACTAGTATTGTAATGGGGTTTAAAAATACAGAACTTCTTAATTTTAAGAGTTTAAAGGTTTTGTGAGCTTTAATAGAAAAGACAGAAATGGGGTTTGATTGTCCCATTGTATCTTATTTGTGTCTTTTTACTAAGCTATTGCAAATATATCCACAAAGACACAAACTGAGACACACATTTAGAATTTACCAAAACTTGCTCAAACACTTGGAAACATTTCATAGACTGTTGCACAGACAAAAAAAAAAAAAAACATGCGTCTCCTCTCTTGTTTGACAGCTGAAGACAAATCAGTCTAGGTTTGCAGACAAATTCTCAATTATCCAGACAGACCTCAGTCAGATGAGTTTCTTCTGTCTGCGAGGAAGCTGATTCACTGTCATACCACCCGCCGCTATACGCTGATGTTTTTTCCCAGAGCATGTCACTGCATGTCCTTAAATTAACGTCATACTCAACAAGTGTGTATGTGCATGTGCATGTGTGTGTGAGATGGTAAAGTGAGAGGGGCAAAAAAGTACACTAACATGCTTCTGTCTGGGCTGTAAATGTCTGCAAGTTTTTATCTATGTATTTGTCTTTGTGTTGTGTGTGTGTGTGTGTGTGTGTGTGTGTGTGTTGCCCCCACACCACCAACCACAGGAAGAGTGGGAGGGAAAAGAGAGGTGGACCACGGAGTGGTTAACCTCATGACATCACACGCCCCAAGCTGATTGGCTGCAGCCTGTGGCTACAGGGTTTATAAGCAGACCAGGAGGCTGGATTCAGGCAGCAGCATCACAGCAAACAACATCCAGGAAACCCAGGAGATAAACTATAGAGGATCCACATCGGCACAGCAACCTGTTTTTGCTACACAAAAACTTCTGAAACTTCCTACGACTGCAACAAGGTCAGAATGAATTAACAAATATCATTTTAACTTTGCCTGGTTTTGTCAAGTATTGATAACGTACTGGACTCTAGTGCAGATTCTTAACAAAAACTACTTAATTTAATGAAAAGGCTAGATGCAAACAAAAACTTACAAGACCAAAATCCAAAAAGGGAAAACAAGGAAACACCAGAAACTCTGACATTATACAATTACAATACTAACAAACAACTGACACAGAAGGGAAGGAACACAGAAACTTAATTGACACAGGAGTAATCAGACATGGGTGAGACTAATGATACAGGTGAAGACAATGAGGGCAATCACAATGGAGGCAAACACACAGAGGCAGGAATGAACACAAGAAACACTGAGGACAACTACAAAATAAATACATGAAACACTACAACATAGAGGGAAACACCAGGGAAGAATGAGACCTAAAAGATAAATGCATCTAAACTGTGAAAAACAGAACAAATCATGACAGGTTTGAGTTTGTCTGCAAAATTCCTCCTTTACATTATAAGAAAAAAAAAATTCAGGAAGTAACTAATTAAAAAGTTCTGTGTATTTATTTTATGACATCTTTACATGGCAAAATGTTTGGGGACACCCAGTCTACACACCATAATTTACAGTTTGTATTGTAAAGGCATAAACAAATGATGGAGTATGTTCACTATGGCACTATTAGGAGTTAATAGAAACAAGTTGACAGAAAAACTGAGTCTTAACTTTTATCTAATGTGATTCACCTTGATTATAATTTTTTTTTTTTTTTCTCCAAAGCAACTTTAAATGATTTTGTTTACCACCGCCTTATTGCAATGCACTCAGGCTTTGCTGATTTTTATTCTCAGTCAATCAAACTTAAATTGATAGTTTACAGACTTGAACACATTTTAAGTCAGTGAAGTGAAAAACCTGCATCACACCCACAAGATGGTTTGGTTTTCTGCCATGAAGCTGTGCAGTTTATTGCATTTAATTATGAGTTCTTTTTTGAGACTTTATGGCTGTGGAAGTGAGCCTGAGATGCAGAAGTTAAGAGGGGGAAGCCATGTTTGATTGGCTGATTAGTGCTGCAGTGACAACAAAGAGGCAGCTGTAGGCTGCAGGAAACTACCTAACCTCTGGATAATATGATAGATTACCAGGACAAGCCCAGACTAACCACAATTCAGTAAACACAAATACACACACAAACAGTCTTAACTACCAAGTGTAGGAGTTTAGTTTCCAAAAAAACAGTGTAGGGACTACACCATAAAATAAGTGCTGAATCCAGGCTGACATAATTTTGCAGTTTCTTTTTGGCATTTTGAATTCCCTTGGCTCAGGCTCAAACCAAGAGATTAGACAACCGTGTTCAAATCGATCACAAATGTAGCTGGATTTCTCTTGAACCAAAGCAACTTCCAGTCTTAAAGTTGTGACATTTGTTTAGATAAAAATCTGAGACTGGGGTGTTTTTCAACCACCAGGGGAGACACTTTGTATTGTTGGACACCTGCATCTGACTTATGATTCTTTAACTGAAGCAATTCTACTTACTGCACTTGGACTTGTCAAAGGCTGTATTTGGCAATGCTAGTTTGATAAATGTATGCAATATATTGTATTTGTAAAAAAAACACAATTTTACACTTTTGTAGTAAAAAAACAAAGACATTCAAGGGAAAGAGATGGCTTGTTGTAATTTTGTTTTTGGACAGAGCCAGGCAAATACTTTACCTTGCAACTGCAGGCTTTACACTCACCTAAGCTAATTCCTGCTAGCTTTGACAAAAAAAGATATAAAGACAATATTAATCTTCAATTCAAAAAAACTTGTAATGTAAGTCTTGCATAATAATTCTTAATAATATTTCCTAAAATGGCAAATGAACCATAATCATCTTTCCTTACTTTGACTCTACCTATGTCGTTAACACAATTCTAACTTTAACCCTAAAAGAAAAACTGGACCATGAAACAGCCCGGGGACAAGGCGAAGACCAGAAATGGTCCTCACAAAGAGACCACAAACAGGGGTGGCATTACCGTATCCTCAATGAGGCAAAGAGCTTCTTCACAGTAAATTAAACTCCATTTCAACCCTAAAACAGCCCCTTCATTGAAATTGTGGCTGAGACAAAAATGTCCAGGTTTCAGACATGTGTCTGCTCAAGGTCAAAAACTCATTCTAGTCCTCACAAAAATGGAAATACATACAGCCGTATGGGCGTCCATTATGATTCTGCTGCATTGTGGCTTTCCAGTTATAACCTGGTGAATTACACAGTATAGGAAGAGTCCATCATTAAAGATGGAAGCAGACACTCAGACTGTTACTCCCAGAGCAAACATGAAAAGCAGAGTTTGTTACTGTTGGGAAGTGGAAGAGAAATATTTACAAGTCAATGTTTACGAGAGAAAAAAGTTGTACATTGCTGAAATTTACATAGGTGTGTATATATAACACTATTCTACAATCAGCTTCAGTGAAAATGACTAGCAGTGAGTGTCAGTAGACCACATAGAAAAACCAACAATGTCACCTAAAAAACTGTGTTCAGCTAAAGCCTGATGTGCCCTTTTCTCTGCACTGTACTACAAGATCATCAGACGTGATTTTTAATTGGATCTATTTGGAAAAAACCTGGAACTATTAAAAGAGAACCTCCCAATGAATTTTCTTTTCAAGGGAAAACAGTTTGACTAGTTACTTGCGATTACAAAAACTTAACCGCTATTTTTAAAATGGCAATAAAGTAACATATTATTCTAGCTTCAATAAATGTAACATGATATAACCAAGTATCTTTCAGGGTGACTTGTAAATCCTCAGGACTGGATTTATGTCCATGCTGATGACGGTAAATAAATGAGGCCATTTTTATCTGCTTAACCTTTTTCATAGTTACCACAGTGAGGCTTTGTAGTGCAATATAGACTTCCATCATTGTCCAAAGAACACATTGGTGAACCAAACTGTAGTACCAGGAGGCATGTTTCCATGAACATAAACAATCCTGTAGCTTTAAACACAAACTACAAGAGAAAATGTACTCTTCCTCCTTGGCAAGCAGTCTCTCAACATCCTCTCGTTTGAGTAGTGTTTGCTAAATAACTTGGTGCTTTCTAGAAATGACTGAGCTTTAAAACTTAAAACTGAACTTTTTAAAGACACAAATGTACTGATGGCCATTTTGGTTTTAAGATAAATGTGTCTTAAAGCCTCTTGTAGAAAGATTGACAGGCAAAGACTAGGTTCAGAAAACTCCAAACAGAACTAGTTTTCTGTCAAACACCAGGAGACTCATTTCATCCTTTTTTAAATCATACCTGTTATTTTCTCACATTGTATGCCTTAAAATCAGTCAGATACAGCCTGTCTCAAGTTAAACAAACCCAAATGTGATTTCTAGTCTGACAGAATGTTTTACTGTATCTCAGCAAAGCTCATTTAGCTCTGTAATTAAGGACTTAATGGCTTCCTGTGACACATGACCATGCAGCCTCCATTTTTAGGAAGGAATCTGGGCGAGGGGATTTACTGACAAGGCTTTCAGCTCATTTTTCCAGTTTGACATGCCATTGTGTCTCTCGTCAAGTTATGGTCTCTGAGCAAATGTTTTGGTGTTGTTAAATGTCTACACATAACAATTATGTTGTATTGTTTGACTGTGTTGTGTGATGTTTTACTGTGTGACTTCAACCTGCATATTTCTGGTTTTCTCCCTTTTTTAGACACCAAACTGTGACACAATGAAAGTTGCTGTTATTTTCGTTCTGCTGTTTGCCACAGTTCTCTGCCGACCGGTGAGTTTTTCTCAAGTCAAAACATCTAGATCAATTTCATTGTCTTGAAGTATTTTTGATCCATAATGACATTATCTATTATTAAAGTCAATTGTGTATATTTATACAGATGACACAATCAGATGTGATCAGGTATTTCCTTTGGATCCAGTTTTAAAATATATATTTTTGTCTTTTCAGGCAAGAAAAGAAAGCAGTTCAGAGAGCTCAGAGGAAGTGGTGAGTATCTGGTAAAAAGAAAAGAGGTGCAATAGAAAGAGACATCAACACTGACTGACTTTTTCCACTACAGGTGAGACGACCAGCAGCTCAACCCAGTAGGAAACAAGCAGTACTGGTTCCACAGACCCGTGCAGCACCAGTACAGGTAAAATACTCCTTCACCATTATTTTAAATCTGATTTCCGTCTTTCAATTTCTATCAAAACAACTAATCCCGACAGGTCATCTCCCAATTCATGCCTCATCATCTGTATATTTTCTCTTATTTTTTTTATTCCTTCACTCCTCTTCCTCTCTTCAGTTAGCCACTTTGTCCTACAATCCACTTACTGAAGGCTGAGGATAGTTCTGCTCCATTGGCTACCAAAAGAACCAGTATTTCCATCATTGATAGATTTGTGTTGACACAAATCTAGCCTACTCTGGCCCAGCAAATTTTGTCCTTTTGTGTCTTGAAGGCCCAAAAACATGGCTTAATGTTCTTCAAGGGCTCCAATCAAACCCAATTTAGACCATCCACCCATCCATGAACATTTTCCTTGGTGGGCCCATCATTAACTTTAAAGTCCACTCTACCATTACAAGTGGAAGCCCTCTGAACCTGTTTCACTTCCTCTAAAATTGAGTATATTTTTTAAAATGTTGTATCTCTGTTTCAGAATGTTGTTGCAGCAGTGGCTGCCAGCTCAGATGAGAGCATAGACAGTTCAGATGAAGACGAGGTGAGACACATTAAATCAAGAGACTTCTATAAAATCAGTCATGATTTCTTGCGCTACACTTTTTTTTTTTTTTTTTTTTTTTTCTATTGCATTTTGTTGAGAAACTACAGTTTTTATAGGTTAATTTTTGTTTTTATGATTTAGCAGCAGGCAGAGGCTCCAGTCGAGGTGAAATCTGACAGCTCGGCCACGGCTTCAACAAATACAGCCTCTGTGAACAGCAAGGACAGTGAAGACAGCGACGACGATGATGATGAAACAGAGGAAAGTGTGAGTAAAAATGCATGTAGGAAATTTCAGGGCAATAAGTCAATGGCTGTCTCAAACCAGATCCATATATTTTCACTCACTGACTCTCTAACAACTACACTCCCTCCTCTGTATCTCCAGGAAACCGAAGAAGACGAGGATGAGTCTGACAGCTCAGAGTCTGGCGAGTCTTCCACCACTGTGCCCTCCACCTTGACCCCTGTGATCGTCACAGAGGAGCCAGTTCCTGAAACGACTGAGGCACCAATCGCACCTACCATCGTCACAGACGAGGAAGCATCCCGTGGCGACAGCTTCGGAGGATACCCCAGTGACTACAAGTCCATTATCTATGTGGAGGACAAATCCTACCAAAAGGTTCCTGGTCCCTACAAGTCCTACGAGTTTGTCAACACCGGAAAGAAGATGGCCTATGATATGACAGAGGGCAATGATGTGGAGAAATCCCTGCAGGTGTACAAGGTATGTTGGTATAAGCTCCTGAGTGTTTGTAATGTACAGCCCACAAAAGATCCAAGCCGACCAACCTAAACCTCACGTTTTTGCCACCCCCTTTAGGCTATTCACGTCCACCCTGATCTCTTGGAGGAGGACACAAGCACCCCTGAGGTAGAGAGCCAGGGCCTGGATGCATCCTCTGGTACCGCTCAGGACCAGGCTGTCAACGACCGCCAGGCAGCCCTGCCAGAGGAGGCTAGTGCCAGCGACGCCACCACCAGCGAGAGCTCCAGCACCCCAGAAGAAGAGGACGAGAGCGCCAGCACGGCCAGTGACAGTCCAAGTGCCAGCGAGGAGTCAGAGGATGAGGAGAGCCAGAGCAGCGAGGAGGCCACTGCCACACCTGGAGCTGCTGACAGCGACTCGGATGAGAGCACTGAGAGTGACTCGGATGAAGATGGGGCAGTACCTGACATCACCACTGACGTGCCAGTGGTCATCACTGCCAAATAAACCCCACCCATTCATGGAGCGCATGCTGCATCCAGAAGCAAAGAACAAACCCTTCCAAAGACACTTTTCACTGCATGGCAAAACAAGGACAATCTAGTTAAGTCTTATTGATTGGAGTGTATTCAGACAATTTCTGTGACAGTCTAGGAATGTTTTTGGAAACAGAATTTTTGTTCACCTCGGTTATATATAAATGTATTCATCCTACAACCCATGGTCCTGGTAGTTTCCTTTTTTGACCCTGCGGTGTAACGGACAACTGCTACCTGCAACAGGAAGACAATTGACCTCGCAACCTTTTCCAACTCCCCTCCCCAATTTGTTACTGCTATGTATAAGGTCAAAACTGAATAAAAAAAGACAAACAATGTTGCGCCGTTAAATCTACACCAGCACAACACTGCCTTCAATCATGAATTTATAACTGCAATGCAAACTTTAATTAAAAAAAAAAAAACATTTAAAATAATTTCAATCATACTACAATTGTAACTTCATTAAGCCACACCTTGGCTGCATGTGTGGCTTAGCTTTGTTGCTCGCTAGTATCAAACCTGCTGGTCGAGTTAAAAGGATGCTGAGAAACAAAAAATCCTGCACAGGGTTCATTTAGATTTAGTTGCAGAACACGCACTACACAGTTCTGTTCATTTGCACAGTTTGTACCTACACTACATGTTGTTTGTCCCATGTTGTTTACTGTAATGTATCATATTGTAACATTCCTAAAATATGAATAAAATTCTTTTCATATAAAGAGATGCTGATGTGTTTTAAGGACTGATGGAGTAGGGATATGGAAGTTAAGATCATGTAGACAAGGCTTGAAAAATGCAAAGCAGTAGAGTCATCAAACAACAATACATGGAAGAGCTCATAATGAATTCAATGATTGTATATTATAGAAATTTGTTTGCCACATTCTGAGAGGGAAGTTAAATATTTTGGAAAGCCCCTATACAACTTGGATTGGGAGATCAATACCAGTGTTTCCCCTACCATATATTTATTTTCATGCCTTCATTGTAGAGATGGGATAGAATCAGAAGTCATTGAAGGACACCTTTCTGATAGAACAGGACAGCTGTCATTAAAAGTAACGCATGGACACCCACTTCCTTCAAGTGTTTCTGTCGGCTTGTCCCCACCCCACAACGCTGTAAACCTAGGGAAAACACTGAATACCACAGTCTAGTCTGGCCTATGTGGGAATATTTGAAACAAGGGGGCAATAAACTAGTCATGAAGACAGTTAATAAAAAGTATCACAACATCTCTATAGTTCACAAACTAACCATGTTTTTATCATGTTTTACAAACAGGCAAAATACAGCGCAACTCCTATGTAAGCCCTCATCACATGCTCCCGGACTTAATGATCAGCTAGGCTAATGCTAAAGCTAGAGATCTGTACTTGATACAGACGTGAGACTGATCAGATCATTTTCTGTTATATTCTGAGAGAGAAACGCCCTGCTGTCCGAAAGTGCAACAAGCCGTAACCACTTACTTTAGTCCATGACATTAATGATAGCAACAACACACTGATGGACTAACAGACACAATCAGCATTGATTTTAGGCAGAGCTGAATTGTTCAGGTAATAAGGAAGTTTTAGCCAAACATGAACATTTATGTAACAGCTGAAACTATTAGTGTAAAAAAGTACAGTATTTTAACAGTGGAGAAAACTGACATATTTGGGTTTGATATGTTAAACACTAAAGTATTTGTCAGCCTTATTAAAATATGGTCAATTCCAGTATAGTACATATAGTTGGTGTAATTACATCTCCAAGTATTCCAGATTATCTTGAATGCATGCAAAATTCAGCCTCCTATTTGTTAATTTAAGCAAGACAAGGGCTACTCTTAATGATACAGAGAGAGAACGAGATGTGTCAGTCCCTCTTTATCTTTGAACTAAACTGTAAAACAATCAATGCCACAATATATAACCAAGGGCTGGTAACAAACAATATACCAGTTACTGGCTGGATCAAGCAAAACAAGGACACAATATCACTGCATGTAATATTTAGAGTATAATTCATATTTTGACATTCAAAGAATTGTCAAGTAAAAATACCTGTTTCTATTAAAGTAACCCAAAGCTGACCCAAAGCTTCCCTTTGCAACTGAATCTTTTAAGAAAAAGTATGGTTGTAAACCTGCAGAAGTCTGTAAGGGACCCACATTGTGAGAGTGATCATTTCAAAAGTCCTGCATTATAGCACTTAGTTGATGTCTCAACTTCATCTTGTCATCTGGTAATGTCCTCCAAACTGCAAGACGCTGTATAGAGACATAAACATAGACGTAGTTGTGACTGATTACAGCCTTCAAATCATCAGTGCCCCCAAACTGCAGCAGTGAAGCCCCTCAGGTAAAAGCATGAGACAGGTTCAAATATGTTTAGACTTGTGTATAGCATTTTAGATGTATGCATCTCTGAACTACATTCTGAACAGTGTGCGTTTTATTTCTAATCACATATTTGTCTGTCTCTTTGTAGTATTTTTTATCGTACAAGTAAAATTGACTTTTTTAAATGTTGCACACATTAAATTACGTCTTGTGAGCGATACGATTTTGAATTGGAAGAACCTTAGAATGTAAAAATCCTGGATTCTTGTCTTTTCAACTTTCCAGTAATATAAGTGATTTATGTTAAGTTGTGTGCAGACAGGCGGCTTGATTTATTATCTATCATGAAAAATAAAGACAGACTGTAAATGACACTGACAGCATAACTTTAGGGCTCAAACATAGTCAACATTAGTTTGCAAAAAGACCCTCAGCGCGTTGCAAAGCAATGAAGATTATGATAAATTCATGGAGAGTAAAGTATGTGTGCATGTTTATTACTGGAAATAAGGCGATCCAGGGCACACATTTTCTTTAATTGTCTTGAAATAATTAAAAATCACACAAATTTGTTTTAATTTCATGGTTTCTCTTCAGATTTCCAATAATATTTCAAATAAAAAAACAGCAGTACCCTTGAAAGGGGTCTTTGGGGGTACCCTTAGTTGTAAGATTTACATTATGTCAGTCTGTGTTGTCTGAGGGGATACTTTGCCTTCATGTCAGATAAGCTGCAGGAGCTATTGAGTTTTTGTATTGTCTTTTTTGGGGGGCAAAATAATCGTAGAACCACACACTATTGCTACAGAAAAAGAGAGTTATCCCTGGTATATAATTGAAGTACACTTAACTAACCATGTGCACTTATCACAATCTATACCATAAACTACCAATGAACATACATCATACAAATAGTAAACAAACACACCCATAATCACACTGTCAATGCAGGAAAAGCCTCTGTACATTCAAAACATCTTAAACAAAAAATAATAATACAATGGTTGGAATTTAAAAACATTATAAGAAGAAGATTCATCTTATGTCATTATGGTAACAGACCAACTTCATGCAGCACAGCACATTTGCTTACTAGCTATCCAGTCAACATTAGCCTGCGTCACAAAGCACACAACAAACTTCAACAAATGAAGTTCTCTTACGTTATCAACGCAGCTTGTTCACATAGTCCTCTTCTTCATCCTCCTCACCTTCCTCATTATCCTTTAACTATGACAGCATAGGAAACTTCACTGTTGGAATAAATTTCCATCACCCACATCATCCACTTTCCTGTAAATAATAGCCCGTAATTCACTGTAATCTTGTAATTTGCTTTACAACAGGAAAACACACTAACTAACTTTATTTAATAGAATGAGTCCATCCGAAACTCGTTGTTACTGATAGCTGAGGATCCGCTAGAGATAAATATGTGCTCATGTTATTTTTACAGTGTATATGATGTTGACCAACAACATGTACAACTGAGAAGAACAAACCAACCAATCAAATCGCCGCAAATGGTCATCTTGAATGACGTCACAGGGACGTCTTTGGAGAAATTAAAAACATAGTTGTTGTTTTTTCTAACATGATGAAAAAAGTCAGTTTGTTATGTACTTATGAAGTTGTTTTATTTCGATAACTATTATTTGTCACAAAATCACTTTTATATGGGGGCGGAGCCTTTTCCTGAGCTCCGCCCACCTGCTGCGTCGATTTAACATCAACGGGATTAATAACCTAAAATTAACATAGACATACAATTACAGTCACTGTTATTCTGCAAGAGGACATTTGAACTCGGTCTGTCTGTGGTGTAACCAAACACAACATTTAGAAAGGTTGTAATATTATTCACTTCACATCAAAACAAACAACATGCGAGTTTAGCTAGCTTGTTTGGCAGTGAGGCTAACGAGATTAGCTCACATGCTGTTACTGTATGCTAGCAGTAATGGAGGAAGAAGATGAAACGTCAACAAACCAACAAAATAAACCGTGAAACATCATGGATACGAAACACATAATCTCCATTAAGGTAAGAGGAAAGGACTCTAGCGTGAAATAAACAAGTCAGTTAATTTATGTTAGTCTGCTTGTGTCTGTTTGTGTGTTATAATGTTGTTAAAAAAATCAAGATGTGCTGTGTATTTATGTATTTATTTTTATGTATTTATGTTTTTATGTATTTATGTTTTATGTATTTATGTATTTATGTTTTTATGTATTTATGTTTTATGTATTTATGTTTTATGTATTTATGTTTTTATGTATTTATGTTTTTGTTTTTATGTATTTATGTTTTCATGTTTTTATGTATTTATGTATTTATGTAATTATCTTTTTTATGTATTTATGTATTTATGTTTTCATGTATTTATGTATTTATGTATTTATGTAATTATCTTTTTTATGTATTTATGTTTTTATGTATTTATGTTTTTATGTATTTATGTTTTTATGTTTTTGTTTTTATGTATTTATGTTTTCATGTTTTTATGTATTTATGTATTTATGTAATTATCTTTTTTATGTATTTATGTATTTATGTTTTCATGTATTTATGTATTTATGTATTTATGTATTTATGTAATTCTCTTTTTTATGTATTTATGTATTTATGTATTTATGTTTTATGTATTTATGTTTTATGTATTTATGTTTTTATGTTTTTATGTATTTATGGTGTTTATATTGACTGGAAGTTATCTACATTTTCTGCCCTACTAAACTTTTTTTTAAGCAAACACAAAAGTAACTTTTCCGACTGACAGGACCTACTGTAGGTTTTCAATAAGAGTCACTACTTTACTTACAGCTAAAACATGAGCATGCTGCTGTTTTTATTTAGATACCTATAGTGTGCCATGATGATGTGACGCTGTGACATTTAACAGTGCAGGATAATCTGTCTCTTGCAATTTGTGCTCACTTGTTGCAATGAAGTTAAGAACAGTGTGAAAAATAAGAAAGAGAAATTAGAGAAGGACTACATGCAAGAAAAACTGAAGAATATTACAATTGAAGTTAGACATTTTAACTTAGTATGTGAAAGGAGAAGTAGCCTACAACTGAGAATTTAAGACTTTTTGAATATTTTGCAAGTTAGTCACTTGTAACATACTTAAACAACATCAGAGCAGTTTCTGAAAATAGTTTGAACTGAGGCAGCCTCCTACAGTATAAGACTAAAAAAACATTATGTTATAGTTAATATAAGAACAAATACGCCAAACAATGAAAAGCACGTACATAGAATTGTGCAGCATTGCAGACCATCTCTTGCTGCCTGAGCTTTTTTAAAAGCACTGAATCTGAAGAGGATTTTAGGTATTGACAGACAGCCCTTAACCTTCAGGGGTTGGCTCTGAATCATACTTGACAGCTTAACCAGCATTGGAATTTTGCCTGAGCTCTGCTTCTGATGATTAATATAATAATACCATAATTGGTTAATTCTGTTTACTATATTTATCCATGAGTCACAGTGGGTGCTGTGTAATTCTGCAGCAGGATATGAGGCATGAACACCAATAAATCTTGTCTTTAAATACTCATTTCGAAGTTTCAAACTGTTAAGAATAAGACAAATAAAACAAGATTTAAGTCTTTAATGGGCCTACCACCACATGTCTTTTTCTAGCATTATCCTAAGGGGGTAGAAAGTCTGCAAGTTAACCCTTATAACGCTTCAAGATGAAAAGGCCCTTTTTTTCCCAGAGTGTCCTCAAATGTTTCATCTCTCTTAAATCTTAAATGGAAAGGTTATGTATTATTTTAGAGATTATGGTTTTATAGGATTAATCAAACAATGCTCTCATGTGGCAGCCTGCAGAAGGTTTGTTTTTAGAGGTTAGAGTACCTCTGGGAATTCAAAGTTATCATGGTGTCACTGAATAAATATCTCTGGGGAGATGACATCTTTCTAGGAAAAGGAATGTAGTGTACTTATAAGTAAGGTATAAATGTACCAACTTTAAAAAAGTGTTTTAGTTAGAATAAATATAATTCTTTCAATGTGAGTATGTATGTAGTGTTTATTTCTGGCCTATTTTGCATGCCACTTAAATGTATGATTACATCTTTACCTCCATATGTGATGGTGGAACATGTCATTTAAAAACCACAGGCTTTCATCAGCTGCAATAACAGACTTCACTAGTCGTGTTTCAGGCTATCCACCAGATGTTGGAACCGGGCTGTAAGGATTTATTCCCATTCAGAAACAAGGGCATCAGTGAGGATGAATTATTTCGATGACACGGCCTCCCTCACTGCGGTTCTCTCCAGTTCCTGCTGAAGGTGTCTGATGGATTAAGGTAAGGGCTTTTTGCAGTTCACTAAAGTTATTTCACACCAAACTGAGACAACTCTTTCCTTGTGGACCTGGTTTTGAACATTGAAGCATTATCAGGCTATGTAAGGATGTAACAGGTCCAAACATTAACCAAAAACTTATTTGAATTCCAAAGGCTGACATTGCATGCAATACATTACCCTCCCCACTAGATGGTGCTGAGTCATTACATTGATCATTTACATGAGCCTCCAGTGCATTTTGGTGAAAGAGCATGGTGTGAAGCAGTGATCAGAGACGGTGTTTGGCTTTTGAGATATCTAAAAAGTAACTTTTCAGACTGGAAGGACCTAGGTTTTCATTAAGAGTCACTACTTTACTTAAAAATATAACAGGACCATGATACTGTTTTTATTTAGGATACCTATAGACATAGTGAGCCAATCAAAAGCCAACAATCTGTCTCTTGCATGTTTCGCTCGCTTGCTGCAATGAAGTTAAGAATTTGTAATTCCAAATCTCAAATTTGTGATAAATATGACTTCTCCTCTCTACAAAAGAGACCCACCTGGTGTGACACAACAGTGTGTTTGTTTTGACTGAAAGAAAGATGCATGTTTTTTAACCTTTTTTTTTAAACCTCAGCTGTGTGCAGGGTATTTACATTTTTGTGTATCTTCTATTTCAATCTATATTTGTGGCAATGCAAGGTTAGTAACTGTAATGACAGTGATAAACTTTGTTTTAGAACTGTTCATTCACCAAACATAGCCTCAGATCAGCAGAGTTGGGAGGTTTTATTAATTCTGTTAAGGCAGCTAAAGACAATTCCCTAGTAATGTTAACTGTCAATGACAAAAAGCAAAAAACAGGATCAAGCTCTGTAGCAAAGTCAACATTATGTCAAAAATAATCCCACATTAATTTCAACTTTAACCTCAATGACTCTACACAGCTACGTCTCACAATAAGAGTGAGAATCAACATTGGTCTCCATCCAAGGTTGACAGGTTTTTGAGACGTGCTTTATCACCTTCCAGTTTAGCATTGCTTGCATGTTCAGCCTGTGTTCACGCTGTCTCAATGACTTAATCAGTAGTTTATGCCTTCGTTGTGACTTTTCAGTGATCCAAAAACTGTCATTAATTCGTCCTACCAGTCGTCGGACGAATTAAGTCGTCCTATGTTGGTTTACTCTACTGCTGCTCTAATGTCATAAAGTTTTACTGTGGTTCACACTTTAAAATTAACTAGGAAGAAGTACAGTTTATTGCTGATGCTCTTTGTAGGTCACATAGAAGCATTAGTGTTAAAATTGACTGTTTTGTTACCAGTCTCGTTCATTAGGTTTTACTTAATTTAACATGTTTTCCACCTTTTTTTTTACCTTCATGAACATAGTTACAATTATTAATCCTCAATATTATTCATATCAATGGTGACTTTTCTTATTTTTTATCCTTGTCTTAATCCTCTAAAGCTTTCTAAACATCTGGCTTGGGACCCAATGTGGAGTCACTTAATCATGGGGGATTACTAAAGGGAGTCTATTTGTGTTTGTAAATGTTCTTCTTTATGACATTATATTAAAATGTATGATTTTTTCCAGCTTCCTTCATGCTCTAAAAAGGGCTCAAAACCCCTAATATTCTAATCATCACCAGTTTTCACTGTAGAAAAGGATTTAACAAACCAATGAATTTCATATAAGATACTTTATTTTTCTACTGAAGAAAAGGCAGTGGTGAAATAATCAACACATTCAATTACACTTCAAATCCAGTTTAACATCATGAAGCCCAACACTTGTTAAACCAAACACAAACAAACAACATGAAGATACTTTCTTCTGCCCTCTTAACCATATTTAATTTTAGAAAAGAAGAATTCACTGCCCATAATTAAAACAACCCACTGTGGTAATAACTCAGTGATTTCTTACTCAGCACGTACCGACAAAAGACAAGAGCTGACAAGACAAACAGGACACACCCTTTCAAGTCTGCACACACACTTCAGGGAGCTTCATACTTTGTGAAATTCCAGTGCATATGATATAATAAAGTAGGGACAATATTCAACTATCTGCTGTAGGACAATTGCCTGGTACTGCAGGTGCCACAATAGAGGAATTATTCATAAAATATTTTAAAAAATAAGGATAAATACTTCAAAGAGCACATATATGTAAAAGCACTGGAATTGGCACACTGGAAGAAATCCACCAAAGTGTCCTGCTTGTCCTATCCTGAATCCTTTGAGATAAACATAATAAAGAATTCTGATTGGTCTGTAACAACTTGCTCTGTATCATTAATATTTGATGGCTAGAACACTTCATGTAACTATCAGGGGAGAAATACCCATCATTATACTTCCAGTAATACAGCTGAATACATACTTTAAGTAAACTTATAATATAACAACATTCATAGGAAAACATTTAAAAACTTTGAATCTTCCACTTTAAAACTTCAACATACCCAACAGTTGTATCACTAAAACTCTTAACCTTTAAAAACTGCCAATTGAAAAAAACATCTGCTTTAGATTCCCCATGAAAAGGCTAGGATATGGATTGGCGTTTACTAGGGGTGTAATGGTACACAAAAATTTCGGTTCGGTAAGGTTCCAAGTTTTGAAGCTTCGGTTCGGTACATTTTCGGTACAGCAAAGGGACCTGATGCAACACTTTTTTTTTCTTTATTAGGAACATTTAGAATTTCCCTTTTACACATTGGGCTAAGTGCAGCATCGACAGTTCAGACTTGTACACCTGCTCAGGTTACTTTTTAATAACATTTTAAATTAAACATTGTAAAAAAAAAAAAAAACTTATGCTGCATCCTTCAACCAAAAGAGTCTCCAATAATATGAATGAAATAAAATATTTTAGAATGAAATGAAGTAATTAATATAGCCTATATGTAAAAATATTTATTTTTAATTACACTGACACCTTTTAGTTTATTAAGCCAACAGTTATTTGAATGCCCTTTGAGCACATAATAAACCTAATCACATCTAGGACAGTATAGTTTCATCACAGAACTATTAATATTTCCCTCTGTCGATATAAGAATTTCAATGGCATTTGTTATGGCTTTGGCCTGTTCAGAATTACTAGCAAAAGGTTTTCTATTGTGGAGGGAGGGTGTTTATTCTATCATGCTGCAGGTTATGCTCCCACACAGACGTGTCTCCCCTTTCACGCAGCAGCGCTGTTGGAGCGGGATCATGAAAGTAAAAACGAAAGTTAAGATTAAGTCCGTATAAACAACTCCATCCCGGTTATATGCAACTGTCCAAACCGACAGGCTTGAGGAACTACTAATCTGCAGAGTTTGCACAGTTTATGTTTGAACTTTTTTACAAGTTACTAACTAAAAGCTGTGTCCCATATCCACGGCCGCAGCCTTCCTTCACACTGAGGTGTGCTTCCGCTTTACGGTCCGTGTGGGAACACAGATTAAAGAACTTCTGTTCTGCGTGTACCGAAACGGTCCGCGTGCGGACCGGACCGAAGGCCCTGTACCGAAATGGTCCGGTCCGAGTACGTGTACCTTTACAGCCCTAGCGTTTACAGTAGCCAATAGGGCAGAAATTTAAAACATCCAAACTCAAAATACCATTATCTTACTATAATCTTGTTGAATGTTTTTTTCTTTCAGAATTGCCTTAATCACTATTTGTACTTATATATTAAACAGTTAACCATTCACTTCCTAAAATTATAATACCCATTGTATTCAACTCTTTCAACTGGACCTAAGAGTCTCCTCTGTTGTCTGTAATGGGAGCTGCTGTTGGAATCCCCTGTGTAATATTCTGGGTCACACTGATGGGTGAAGTGACCATGACAGGTGTGGTTGGTGTGGTTGCCGGGGGCGACGCAGTTGGCTGATGTGTAGTTACTGTCACCGGTCCAGGGGAGAGGGTGCTCTTGCCTCGGGTAGTGATAGTTGACATGGTGGTAGTGGTGGTCATGACCGGTGTGGTTAGATCAGGGATTAGAACTTCCTCAGATGAATCTTCAGAGGATTCACTAGATTCCTCAGACTGGTCTGAGGAGGAGCCCTCTTCGCTGGAAGTTTGATTACACCACCAATTCCACCACTTAACCCATCCTTGTTTCCAATACCTGTTACCGTTATCTCGGATATCACCCTTATGACCCCAACGGCCACGAAACTGTGGAGAGAATACATCAAACTGTTAAACAAGTACCATCATTTTATTTCTGAAGTACCAATATCCCTTTATATCTTTGTAATATCAGACACTTCTGTGTCACTAAATGATGTATTGGTCCATTTTAAAATGCTGGATTTGTCTCGGTTCTCTAGTCTCTCTCTTCTTGGACATGCTCTGGTTCAGGGTTGTATTAACCCCCGCCAAAACCGGTCTAGATACAGACGATATCTGGTCCAGTCAGATCTAGGAACGAAGGTAAAAGCTCCACTGACTCTCAGAGTGTCATTTTGGACTTCCGAAAACAAATAGCATAGGGGGAGGGATTTTTAAACTTACAGATACAGATCTTGTAAAAATCGAACTATCTTGATACCTTTTTCAATACCACCACAAAAAAACACAAGTCTTCTCCACCCAATATTAGGCAATTTCTTGATTTAATTACCAAGAAATGCAGTTTAACGTTTGCACTCTGCACATTATTTCAATGTTTTGAATTAAATTGTCGCCAACTTATTTGTGCAATTTAGACTCTCTCTCTCTCTCTCTCTCTCTCTCTCTCTCCTTCACTCCAGCTTTTGGTTAGAATATTACTTAAGAGCTTTGATTATTATTTTATTTTAGATTCATTATTGGGCAATGGCGCCTATATGCCTTTATTCCAGAAGGCAGTGGATAAGAGTAGGAAATCTGGCAGAGAGATCGGGGGACGATGTATAGGAAAGAAGCCAAAGAACCCAGACTGCTGTACAAGGGGCTCGACCTTACCACTAGGCCACAGGCACCCCTAACTGTTGTTATTTTAAAGCTTTAATGCTTCTAAATAACTTTTGTCATTAAAATAACAGATTCAATTATTTAAAACATGTGGATTTGAAAACTTTTGAAAAAGACCACCTCTGTTTTTGATTCTGTTTACAGTATTAAAATTAACATTGAAACAGTAAGTCTTGATGCTTTTGATGTCTTGTGTGAAGCACTTTGAATTAAATAGTTTTCTCCTGCACGTAGGCTTTAACCCTTGCGTTACTGAATGGATCTTTTCATCTTTTCATGGATTTTCAGTCAACAATTATAAAAATTTTCAGAAAGATGAAAATCCAGCATGAACACAAAATTGTGTAAATATCTACACTGATATATGAAAGAGAAAATTCAAGACTGGACATCTGATAATTCAATTAACTTTACAAAAACTGCAGTACAAGAGAAGGATTGAAAACCTTCAGTGTGGAGAATGACGGCCACAAAACACAACATGAAGAAAGTGAGTTACAGTCATTGAGAGAAAGAACAAACAGTGATGAGGGAAGAGCTTTGTGGTTAGCTTACCGGCTTAGCGGAGGCTGTTGTAAGAAGGACGATGACGACGGCGATTGCAAGAAGCTTCATCTCTGATTGGTTCCTGTCTGCGAAGGAGGGAAACCACAAACAAAAACATAGTCACTTGCGCACAAGTAACAATACACTGTCACGTCCTAAATGTAAGAATAGTATTTAAGAGCGGAAAATTGCAACACTCTCAACAACGATCACGTATTTAAAATAAAAACATGAATGTTTTCGATTGGAGATGAACGAGATACGATATATGCACATGTAGAGAAGTTGTTCAGAATCACAAACTTTTTAATTGATTTTAAATAAATGTAAAACTCACCACTAGTTTTTCGTAGCACGTCTCTTAAATCCTGTATGAAGTCAATGGGATTCTGTGTAGCTGTAATCACTCTCTGATTCAGTGCAGGAAGATGTCTGACTCCTCTGCAGGACTGGCTGCTGCTAATATATGCTGCCCCGACAAAGAAGGTGGGCAGAGCAGGGCTGTGCCAGGGGAGAGGATTGGGCAAGCCTGGGGCTGAAGTGGAAGGGAGGGGTAGAAGTGGAAGGTTACCACACACTCACACATGACCCAAATGTTTAATCAGTAGTTTCTTTTGTTTTGTGAGTTATATACTATAAGTGTTGGTAAAAGTACATTTTTTAAATGCTCTTATTTGTTTAAAAATTGGACTCTTATATGACGTCAAAATAATATTCCATCATCGAATACAACATATTTTTTAACACGGACAGAAGATAGATGTTGATTAAAGCTGCAAGGAGGAACTTTCTTTTTGTGTCCCTGTGGAAAAGCGGTACCTCTTACCTCTATGTTGTTCTTCTCCAGTGCTTAAGAAAAGCTTTCTCCTCATTCTGTCTTTAAACTGTCTAATCTATCTTTGCCAAGGAAAATGTAAACAAAACCTGTTTCTGCAGACATGGTCTGAGGCAGAGTGTGGCAGGGGTGACAGAAATGACAAATAATAAAAAATAGAAATAGTCAGTCTTGTTGCTGATCGCTTGTTTTGCTTTTGTTGGTCATATAGCGACGTCAGTATTACCTTAAGTGAGTTTCATAACCAGCTAAAAACGCTTCACTGAAGCTTTAAGTTCATTATAGTTTGTGGTGTGTCTTACATGATCACAAGTGTGTCATCTGCATACGTATGTTCACAAGAGAAAAGAGGGATTGGCTTTAAGAAAATTTTTTGGACAGTTTGAAGAAATACCATCTGAAATTGGGTGCACAAAGTTAAAATGGCCTGTCTTCAACCCCTCGACATTCAGCTTTCCATGTTTATTTCATTTCACTTGGGAGTAATAAACATTTTCAGCACGACCATCCAATTGAAAATGTATATTCATTCTGATAGTTGAGACTTCCCAAGACAGTGAATACACATTACTAATGCTGGGAATCTCTGGGTGTCTCAAGATTGGATTGGATTTCGATTCTTGGGGTCACGCCTCGATTCAGAATCTATTTCAATGTTTCAATTCCGCTCTGAACGTCTGTAAGCCCGCCTACCCATATCCCTGCAACATGTTTGACTGTTTGTTGTCTTTTTCTTCTTCTCTTTAATATCGGGTGGCAAAGTGTTCAAGGCACATTAGCGCCCTGACAAAAATTATATCGCAATTATATCGCCCAGGCCTATATCATTCAACAGGATGAATAATTTTGAAACCCTGACGCTTCTGCTGGAGCAATTTATTCTGCGTGCTCATTGGGTGTTTCTTAATCAAAGAGTATTTTTCCATGGTGTGGCAACTTTTCTCTCAGCAGCGTGAGTTGTACATCTGGATTTAACCAGTGTTCAGTGACTATGCAGGATGTTGTATGGGGCCCTTTCTGGAGATGGAGAGGTCCTATTTAAGTTATTTACCCTTTCAAATGTGCAGATACTAATTATTTTTCAAATTGTTGTCAAATAACTGTCAAATAAAACTGTCTATCAGATCTTGCCCAGCAGTAAAGTTGTCTCTCGTAGATAATTCTGTGTTGGAGCCAGAACAGAAATCAAAGATTTGGACAGGAGGTGAAAGAGAAATGCCAAATGGAAACGGTAGTCTGAATGAGGCGATGGAGAAATGAGCCATGTATAGACTCTTTAGTGTTGAGCAGTCAGTGGAATGTAACAGGAGAGTCAGAGTGAAATAACACTTTGATCACAACTGTGTCTGTCACACCACAGTGTTACCTCATCACTCTGAAACCTTTCCTCTCCTCTCAGCCTCTCTCTTTTTTGTGTTAAAGTCCCTCAATCACATTAGAATGAATCATTAATGGAACATATCATCAAGCAGCTTCAATGTGTTCTTATTAATACAAAGATCATTAAAACAAACCATTCAGAATAAGTTTGACCTGACCTAGGACTACATGTTGATCTGACAAAGGAACAATGGTTTCCTATTAGAGGCGGGGAAAAAAGATAGATTTGTTCAAATTGAGATTCTTCTCTTTTAAGATTTAAAATCCATTCATAACTTCTAAAAAAACGATGTATTAATACTTTTTTTTTTTTATTGGTTAATCAGTCACTCCCTGCTTAAAGTACTAAGGCTAGCTCTTTAACTCAGTAGAATGCCAAATAGAGCAGCAAGAAATTCAGCCCGTCTCACAGATGACTGGAGTAGATCCTGAATTATGTACTACTTACAAAAATAGACTTTGAATCCATGAATCCAGAATAGTTTTGAATCGAAAATCGATTCTGAATAAAATTGTGACCCCAAAAATCAAAATTTAATCTTGAGACATCCAAAGATTCCCAGCCCTATTACCTATGTAGAATTCAAAAGTTTGAAAGTTAAATGTGTCAATTCCAGTTTTTCTGATGCTTTGCTTATAAGTAAATCCTGCAATACTAATCTACATCAACCTTTATTTAAGCCTCGAAAATCTTTGAGGTTTCCCTCATTTACAATGATGCCGAGATATAAAAACAAACAATTTACAACATTTGCAACAATCACACATTGACGTGAAAATGATTTGAGACTATTGCTGTTCATCAGCCTCAGATGTATTTTGTGTTAAAGGCTACGTAGCAAGTGTCAGGACTTAACCACGTGTGAACTAAAAGAGTGACTTAAGCATGTTAGCGTTGCCACTTTGAGCATCAAAAAGAAAAACTGTAGCATGTAACTAAACTGATATAGCTCTAGACCCGTTGGCCTCGTTACGTCCTCTATTTTCTGACACTTTATAGACAGAATAATAAATTAATCTGCAGCCTTTCATGGTGGCTGTAACAGATACATAAGTGTGCTACAAATGTCACCACAATTTGAATGGTACAAACCAGGGATGTATACAACACGCCTGCACCGTACTGGAACAGCGTTTATCTGTGTTTAATAAATTGTGCTCGATTATGACTGTTTTCTGAACGTTTTCTTACCTTTAAACTATTCGACTTCAAATTTCCATTTTTATCGACAGGGAAGTGATCCACTAGGAACATGCACAGTGTGCACTGTACAACGTTTGCAATGAACATTAAAAAAGCATCTGTTTGCATTACACTGTCTGTTGTAGCTGTTTCATTAAACATCCAAACAAGTTCATCCTAACTTTATAAAATCAGAGAGAATCATCAAGGCCATGCATGTGTTTTACAACAGCAAGCTTGGTTATGAATATGCACAAACAGAATAAATACAAAGAATGACAGCGACACAATTACAAACGATTACATTTAAAAACAGTGATAAGCATAACGACACGTTATATCATAATTAAGCCCCCCAACGTACAGATGAAAACAATGGCTTCTGCAGCTGTGATAGCTACAATTCAGTTAAAGACCTTAGTAAATCACACTTCCATAACAAATCAAACCCATCATTATCATACAACACACACATTGTTTTAAACAGTCTGATGTATGAACCCACTTCCTACTGTAAACACACCCTCCATTACATACCACATGTCTGACAAATCCAGTTTCGGCCACAGAGGTTACATTTAAGCCAGAGCCTTTCAGGTAATAAATTCCGGCTCTGGTCAGCGATTAGTGTCATCCAACCAGTCTTTCCAGCAGGAAGTGTCCATTTAGGTTTGTTAATTAACCAGTCACTTTAGGCTAATAAGCAACTTTGTGGTGACGCCAAGATGGTGTCATTGTTTGAAGTACAAGGAGCACATCATCCTTCATAGAAGAACACTGTGTCTCCTATCAAACCATAACTCCAAATTCATGTTTAATTTTAGTCTAGCCCATAATCTTTTACCATACTTAACTAAACTGCAGCTGGTTTATTGGTTTTATGAAACAACATTTAGGTTTAGGCTCTGATACTACTCGGTCAGATGCAGGGAAAGATAACAGTCAGGGCTAAAATATGAATCTCTAGTGATAGGTACGATAATCTATACTAGTGCTGCTTTGATAGCAGAAAACAGAACCAGATGGCCAAGTTTAGTAGAAGTTGGGCTTTATTAAGTCACTCTGAGGGTTAGTTTATTTCAAATTAGTTGAACATTTTCCAGTGTATTGTCATGATGGTTGATTTGAGAATCTATCAATAGTCTAGTAAAATATTTTAAAAAAAGAAAGGTTTATATGTGCTAGCAGTCAAGTTACAGAGAGTCTAAACTAAATCCTTTTTTTTAAAGTTACATTTTGTGGCTTTTTGAGCCTTTATTGAAGAGACATGAAAGTGGATTTAGTTGGAAATCAGGGACAGAAAATAGGGAATGGCATGCGGGAAAGTAGCCCCAGGTTGTCTTTAAACCCGGGCAGCCTGCTTCAAGGACTACGCCCTCTGTACATGTTGCAAACTCCTATGATTCCCCTCAAGCCTTGACGTCGTCTTTTGTTATTGTTTTAATTGAGAGCCCCCTGGCAGTGGATGTTACATACTGTGCGTTTAAAGAATTAATCATTTGACAGCCCTGATTTAAAGTCAAATTCAGCTGGACTGTGTTGAGGTATAGCTTAAAAAACAACCTTACTCCACTTCCTGAAAATGGTAACAGCACTGTAGTTCATTGTAACAGGAGAAAGTTGTCTAATATGTTTTTTGTTGTAAGTGAAATGTCATTAGTGTCTTATGATTTAAAGAAACTTCATGCCTGGGATAGGCTTGTCATCTTAAAGAGTCAGGGTGAGGCTCAGAGTGTGTTTGAATTTCAGTATGTTTTCATAAAAACATGATGTCATTATGTAACATGTTTTAATTAGGATAAACCACAGTGTGTGGTAACGGGATTTCTATTCATTCAAAATGCAAAGTCATCGTGGAGACTCACCAGGTTAGTTCAGCTGTTACTCACAATACAATAGTATTTGATCAGAGTGAAGTTTTCCATGACAGAGGCGAATCATTGTGTAATACATAAGTTAAATCATCAATACACTTAAAGGTATTTCTTAAATCATTTAGTAAAGACACAGTGTCTCAGTGTCGAGAAATCAGCTTCCAGGAGAAAATATCCGCCCTCCTGTCAAACATGTCAGCTACGCGCCTAACTATGGATAACACGTATCGTTCATAAAATCAAAACGGAGCTGTTTAAAATAATTCACCCCCCGTACAGTGTGTGCCCATGAGGACAATAACTTATCAGACCTGTTTCTTTTTTCGTACCAGGCTGTGAATATGATTATTTATGGGTTTATTTATTTTTTTGCCTGTCATGTGTTTATGTGACTTCCAGTGTTCCTGGAGCCTGCCTCATGTGGACACTCATTGAACTGCAGGATTTTACACATTATTATTAGTATACATTTTTCAAGACTGGAGGTTGCTGCTTGGTTTCTCTATGGAAATAGCACACAGAGAAATTGATCCAAACAAAAAAAAAGGCCATTACTCCTAGTCAGATTTTCATATCAAAATCTCTGCTGTAGAAAGTCCTCAACCAATCATGTGGCAGGGCTTTGTTTGGTCAATTTCTCTGTGCTATTTCCATAGTGAAAACAAGCGGCAACCTCCAGTCTTGAAAAATGAAGCCAATGCAGAATTTCAAAAACCTGCAGTTCCTCGAGTGTCCGCTTGAGGCTGGCTGCAGAAGACCCAGAAGTCACATACACAACCATTCAAAAAAGCCGACTGACCTGCCATGTAGCTTAGTCAGGAAGTTTAACATCCCTCACAGCTCCAGTTCTCACTGTTGGATTAGGTTGACTAAAAGGTTGAGACAGCATTTCAGACTACGTCTATGTTTATTTCCAGTTAATGGATGTGACACGGTAGGTATCACTTTACAGGAATAATGAATCATCTGACTCTCATAAGAAGCTTGTACGTCAATGTATTTGATAGTTTCTTGGTAGGCAGTGGAAGGGACCGCATCAGCAGACGTCTTTCCCTTTTTATGAGGTTATAGCTGCAGATTGGAAGAAATTGTTCTTGTGGCCTGAGGTTTCAGATGGAGGGGCTCCTGGGAGGAGCTGTGGAAAAGTCCCAGCCCCGGTTCTGGTGGAAGTGTATCTGATCGGCTGGAGGAGTTATTTTTATTATATTATAGTTTCTTATCATTCTATAGTCACTGGTGACAGGTGATCTTATTGAACAAAGTGGTCTCATTTTCAAGAGAGATCATGTTGCGGATACATCAATGTGACAAAGTTACAGGCAGAGGAATTTCAAAACACTGACCAAGAAGAACTTAAATCACAGATCTTGAGGTACCAAATGATCAAGTTTATAAAAATAAGTATGTAAAGATAAAACTCCCACACATATTCTTTATCCAGCCTTCTTCAAAAAAGAATAAAACCCCCAGGGGAAAGAAGCTAGGCAGCTTGAGTTCCTGCTGTCATTTCAGATTCAGGAGGGTGTTGTTACATGAGAAAAACAATGCTGAGGCTTAACTCTGTGGTGCCATCTTGGTGCAGGGAATAGAATATGGTATTAAGGACATCTGCTAGCATGGCAAAGTTTCTTCAAAACAGAGACGATAGTTTAAAGTAGCAGCAGGTTTGGAGTCAACATCAGCAAGTTTAAACTGTCTTTGTTTAGCACTTTGTTGGCTTTGTAGAATACATTTACAAATTAAGGCACAAATGAAACCTCGGTTGAATTCAAATATCAAGTTTCAATCAAATTATATCTCAAGAAATATAAGAGTTACCTAAACCAAGTTGTGTTTTTTTTTAAATAATAAATAATCATGTATATGTGAGCATGCTGTTAAAATAAATAAAACATATATAACCAGTCATTATGGAAAAATTACCCTTTTTTAAAGTAAAACAAAATCTTATTTCTCAGCCCAAAAAAGGATCCAGTAACCTGCTCACTTTCGCTTGTCTCTCTTTCTCTCTCTTTCTCTCTCTCTTTCTCTCTCTCTCTCTCTCGCTCTCTCTCTCTCTCTCTCGCTCTCTCTCTCCCTCCTCACACACACACGCACCTTTTGAGGAGCATTCCAACTTCAGTCGTCTCCATGTTGTCTCCTCTAACAAACCCTTGTGATTAGTGACCCCTGCTGGTGATGAAATGTACTTGCAATGTAAAGTCACTACAACATGAAAAAAAGAAATTCATCAACAACATCAAAATGACAAAAAAAAGACTTTTAAGCTCTAAATGTCATTTTAAATATGGCAGCAAGATGCAATACTAATAAAGACCTCAACAAATCCATTATGTATATAAGTGGAATCTGTGATTTACAGTCACTATGACATTATAGATGACTTATAATGGCTGTAGAGACACAAGCGAAAACACTGATAATCACTTCTAAACATTATAAATGAATTATAATACATAATAAAGATTAGCTGTATCTCATACATGTGTCATGCTCTCTGGGCTTTCTGGACTTGTTCTCTTGTGGTTTTAGTGCCCCTCATTCCTAATCAACATTATTTATGAGAATGTAATCACTGTTTTATTTTCATAGTTCAGGATTTTCATTATTAAGGTTCTCAGTGAGGCTCCGTCATCCTTCCTCGGCCCTATACAACGTGCTCTTTCCATCACTATTGGAGATCCGGGCTCTCAGCTCCCTCCGGTAACTTTGAACCGTGTCCTGTAGCGCTCTTTGTCCGTCTTCCACTGGTGATATGCGTACCTCCACCTGGGTCATTCTTTCGGTGCACTCAGCCAAATCCTGCCTTGTTTCTTCAATAGCGGTTATTATTCAAACTAATCTACCCGTTAACTCGGACCATAGATTATTTATTGCTCTCAGTATCTCTTCTTCAGCTTCCATGAGCTCCCCTGTTACCTGCCTCCATACTAATAATAATAATAATAATTTCTTTTATGAAGTGCTTTAAATCAAAGTGTTGTACAAAGCAATACAGTTAAAATACAGGAAAAACATACAGAAAAATCTTGACTCATACTCAACAGTAAACAGATGGGACTTCAACTTTGCTTTAAAAACCTTAACAGAACAAGCCTGCCTGATGTCCAGAGGTAAACTGTTCCAAAGTGTCGGTGCATAGAAAGAAAAAGCCCGCTCACCAACTCTTCTTCTTCGTCTTCTTTCTGACCTTTGGGACACTCAGAAGACCCGTCCCCTGAGAACGCAGGGCTCGGGCAGGCACATAGGGGTTCACCAGGTCGGTAAGATACAATGGTGCACTGCCATTTAATATTTTTCAAGTTAGCAGCAGCAGCACCTTAAAATCTGCTCTGGCATGAATAGGGGGCCAATGAAGAGAGGCCAACACCGGGGTAATGTGTTCATATCTGCAGGGTCCGGTCAGAACACGAGCTAGCCCTCTAGCTAACTTTTTGCTCCGCTCTGTGTCCCAAAATAATTTCACTTTGATTGCGTTAGTGTTTTCCCTCTATCTCCGCTGGTCTTCCCACTAGTTGGCATCTCTGTGACAAATCTGATGATGAAATAGTTCTGTTGAATTTGTCAGGGTTTTAGTCAGGATTGTAGAGGAGCAAGTTTGAACATGACTTTTCACCTTGCAGCAATAACCGGAAGTCAAACTACTGTTTATATTTGTAATTAAGAAAGTTTTACTCACACAGAGAGTAAGGTGGTTGTACATGTTTATTGTATAGGTGTGTCGTACAGGTTTCCTTTGAAATACAGTGAACATGTCACGTCAAATCTGAACCACAAGGGTTTCTGTTCACCAGAAAAGGTCCTCTTAGTTATTTAATTATCCTGCCTCTGTATGTACTACTTCATAAACTACTGATTTGCTTAAATATTGATTACACAGAGGAGAAAAGTAACAGCAAACAATCGTTGTGATTAAACCACCACAGACATTTATACCTCTGATTTAACCTTTATCTAAACAGTCTCCCCCTTGTCTTTCTCTCTATCTTGCTTGTATCTGTTTTTGCAGTTTCTCTGTGTTACAGTTTGAGTTCATCAAACAGATCAGGATTCTTTTTTTACACCAAGCCGTGCAGGAACGTGTAACCTTTAAGTTAAATATGTAAAAGTAAAAGGAAACCCAGGGGTGGTGAAGCTACAGTGAGGTTGATAGTGAAACCTGCAGCAGGTTTTTCTCTGTAAACAAAACTGAAAATCAACGTTCTGTGAGTGGACCGTGTGTGTGTGTGTGTGTGTGTGTGTGTGTGTGTGTGTGTGTGTGTGTGTGTGTGGGGGGGGCACATGTGTGTGTGTTTGTGTGGTTTGGAAGGTGTTAGTTTATTAAGGTTTATTGCCTGTTTCTAATTTTGACTGAATGCTTCAGATTTTAAATTGCATCTGTGACTGCTTTTTATCGTTCATACATTTCTTAGATTCCTATGTTGAGTTTATTAATCTGACGTTAGGTCGGGGATACAAGACGCTGACCTGGAAGAAGGCATGTTTTCAAAAAGAGCTTTTCCCCTCCACTATTGAAGCTCTTAACAAGCTTCCAGGCCGACTGTTGCGTTGGCTATTTGCTTCTTGATATACTGTTTCTGTGTTTCTTCCTGTGTTACATGTTGATATATGTGTATCCCGTGTACCAACGGTGCAAGGCTGTGGAGACACATTTCCCCCTGGGGGACAATAAAGTATTGTGTTGTATTACTTTATAGCCCCTTATTGTAGATGTGTTTTAAATATTTGAAAGTTTGGAGTTATATGACAGACATTGTTAAGTGGCAGTAGTTCTGTCTTTCTACCACTTCAATATCACACATGTAATTATTAACCCTTTGACCACGTTCAGGTGGTGAATGTAATGTGTTCTTCAAAGTAGTAACTGAGAAAATTAGATTATTATCCTGATCATTTGACTAAATTCTTAATCTTCATGACAGTTTATGAGTAGGTGTTTCTATGTGGTGAATGTCTGCAGCACTTAAACCACCTGTTACTGTTGCTGTGATTATACTGCACCTTACACTGCAGACTTCGGTTTCACCATGAAGGAAGCGGGGAAAGGCTTCTTCCTGTTTCTCAAAGTCTGATACTGTCTCCTGTAATGGACTCAGATTAACTGACTGTTCACTGTGCTTTACACACTGTGTAGCAAATCATTGCCATTATGAGATCAAACTTCCTCCTTTCTGTTACTTCTCCCTCGAGCCAGTCAGATTATCAAGCTTTACAGGTTAACGGAAACACACAAGAAGAATATTAGTCATAACTGTCAGTAACAAAAGGAATCAGCAGACTGTGGCTCAGTATAAGGAATTAGTTTATTACTTTAATATTCAGATAGATTGAAAGTGTCCAGCTGTTTGTAGTGTTTAAGTTTGTTATCTTAAGTGGGGTTTTATGAGGTACTGAAGTGTATTAGCCACAAGAGCTGCCGGTTAGCATTAACCCTTTTGAAGAGAGACCAGCCGAAGTGCCAGCACAGAAGAGATCAACATACTTTCTGTTTTGTTTTTCTTACTCTTATCTTAGGGTATATTTGAATATTAGGTTTGTATTTATCTCAAATGTGTTTTCCCCACTAAAGTGGTCCGGCCCTTATGCCAGTGTAATTATCAAAGAAGACGTGCATACATAAGACACACATGTGAACACACATTCAGTTAGTATTATTTATGGCCTGATAATAACACAGCAGCACAACAATCTGGTTCCTCTGTTATTACTGCTGCTGCCCAGTACTGATTACAAATGGAGTCGTGATGCACCAGTTGCAACTCAAAGTTCATTAACTGGGATATGTTTGATACTAGTAGTTGTGCTGACTCAATTATTTTGTTTCTTTGTACTCGTACTTTACTATGCAACATATCTGGGAGGCCCTCATGAATTTGAAGATTCAGGTCTAGAGGTGGGGGGAAAAATGTATACAACATAGTATCGCAATATTTTGCGTACCGATATTTTATCATCTCTGCCAGAATCCATATTTTTATTATATTGATATTTTTATATGTTTTTAACTGCGGAAGGGGTTGCACAATTCATTTTGAACAAGTTGCATTGTTAAAAATGACTGCAGTTGTTCGGTTGTCCGTATATGTTTGTGTCCAGTTAAGTTTGATAAAGCTGAAATACTAACAGATCAGATATGAGGTGCATGCAGCCTCTCACAGGGTTTGACTTTGATCACACTGTGTTGGTCAGTCTGTGGACTTGACTCTTATTGTGTACAAATAAAAAGACTGAAGTGACATGAATAGACTAGAATAATAGAATGTATTTGACAAAACATTTCTTGATTTAGTTCACTTTTGTGGACATATTATGCAATCTTAAAAAAGTTAAATCGCAATGAATATTTTATCCCAATTCTCAGCATATCAAAAAAAAGTATCCCACCCCCAGGAGGGCCCAGTGCAAATGTCTCTTAATTATCTGCAACTTTAAAGTGAAAAAATAAAACACAAAACATTTTTCATTTATTAACATTTCAATGGACACATATTCATATTGGGGTGAAAAAATGATACCAAACCAAACTTTGCAAAGACCTAAAAAATGTAATGGAAAAGTTCATAACATTTTCTTTTAAATATATATGTATATATAGTATATGCAGTGTTGCATTATGGTATGTTTACTGTAACCAACTTAAAGAATTAGACATCAGTTTATGATTTTGGTAATTTAATTTGGAATAGGACAAAATAGGACAGAAACAGGAAGTAAACATTACAATGAAAAGGGAAAAAGTGAACCCCAAAGAAGGGTGAGAATGAGGCCAACCAGTCAGTTATTATGCAGTTGGAGATACATTTAGATCCTCAGAATATTTGAACTTATTTACAAAGCTGGAGATGACATATTTAGAATCTCAGCAGAGCTGAAGAAACAGGTTAAAAGAGGTCAGAAAAATAAGACGAGTCAACTGATGAAGGGTTAGCAGGAAGAGAGAAGAGGAGCGTGGGCAGGAGGAGGATTTCAATGGAAAGGGTTTGAGAGAGGAAGAATGGATGCGGTTACGATGGGAGGGCAGTGACGACAGCTTAATTATTACAGCTTCCACTAATAGATACTCCGCAGCCCATTGAGGAGCAGACAAAGAAAGTGTCCTGAACTTCAGTGTCCGTGTTTGTTCAACACTCGCCCTGTGTTTTGTCATACGTTTGTTTCAAATGCTTTGGGGCAGCTATCATGTTTTATCCTTGCTTCAGTATTTTTTATCCAGATAACAGAGAGGTCTCCAACTAAATGTTTTACATTGCAAAAAATGTCAATATGGCGAAATAGAGAATTTTCTGTGGGTTGTTTTCTTAAACAAAATATTCACTAAAGGCACATTTTACACTTTTTTTTAAAATAGTTTAACAATTCAGGTGTAGCTGGCCCTCTTCTCAGCTTTGATCTCCTACTACATGTGCTGCAGACAGTGCTGTGAACAATAGAGTTTATGCTTAAAACTGAATGATTTTTTAAATTCACCTGAAACATTGTTTTATGTTTTTATAATGACTCAATAAAAATTGTTAATGGCATTGATCGAAAAACTCATGATGCAATACCATTGTACCTTCTTCTTCTGCTTCTCCCTCCTCTTCTTCTTCCTCCATATAAAGCTAAAATGTTAATCTCATTTTGGCACCAGATAAAATCCAGAGGATCCCCAAAGGCAGTAGATTTCTGTCTCTTGGAAAAGGTGGTAATCCAAAAAGTTGTTTTCTGAACCAAATCCACTAGCATGAATTAAAAAGCATAATCAAGGTTTGAGTATGCTGATATTTTTCTAAACATGTTTTTTTTTATTGTGAATGCATCCTAAAGTGGATTTCCTCTTCCCTCTAAACAACCATCAAACATTATGGCTTTCTTTCATTGTTCATTTTTATTGCACCAACATTTTGATACAAATATTTTACACAATGAGATTCATTCAAAAGCAAGAAAAAAACAATATCATATTAGATACTGAGGGAGCCAAAACAACACTAGAAAAGTGTTAATTTTAATAAACATTAATAAGCTTCACACTAATAATATTCAACAAAACACTCATTGATGAATACTGGATCAAAGTGGATCAGGTATGAGAGACGCTCAGTTCCCTGCATGATCCACATTAAGGACACACTTCTGGGATGTTTCTTAATGAACTCCTCTTTCTTAATAAAATAATTGTTGTATAAATGTGTTCATTTGGTTCCTCCACGGGAGGGGAGCAGGAGAGGAATCAGTGTTATGCTCAAGGACACTTTGGCAGAATGAAAAGCAAGGGTCTCCTGTTTAAGACCAGAATCTTTCTCTGCTCCTCTACACCATCTACTTCTTCAAATTAACATATGAGAAGCACACATAGTTTAAACTAATGATTGAAATCTCAGACACTTCCCACAAATACGTCTTCATCCAGGGTTATTGTTGCCATTTAAACTAACATGAGCAGCATTAGTATGTTGCCTAAAAATGTCCCTGCTTACCAGCCACAATGCCTTCTAGCCACACTTTTAAAACGTGTCTGCCCAGAACTCATTTCAAACACACCAACACGCACACTATAAACACACTGTGATCATACTGAGGAGTTTGGGTTAAGGGGGTCACTTCTAAAGTTTAAAGTCCAAAGTTCAGTCTTAAGGATCATACATGGGGTTGTTGAAGTGTTCTAATGCACTGTTGCTGTTGTCCAGAAGAGGTCCGTAGGATCTACGCCTGAAATGTCAAAGAAATAGAGAGGTTAGAAGAGAAATTAAGTCAAATGGAGAAAACAAAAACCAAAGACTTGACATGAAATCTTTCTTATATAGTCACTAACAAAGATTAGATGATAGGAGTTGGGGTTAGGTTTAATTTTAGGAATGTTTTTTCAATGTTTCAAAATGTGGTAATATTCATAAATCTATTGGACGCTCTCTGTGCAAGTACGTGCTAAAAAGTCCAATACAATTACCAACGCCAATAGTCACAAAGTCACAGAGTGGGTGGCTAAGCCCAGTACTTATCATAGCAACGGTTCCACCTTTGTTTGAAGAAAATATTGATCCGTTCATAGAATTTGAACATAATTCATATATTTTGATAGGACCCTTAGCTGGGTGGATCCATTCTTTATGAATTTACAACCAACATACTTTTGTACAAGATCAATATAAGTTCTGGACTCACCGGATCTTGACGTAGTAAATCCCAGCCATCACTAAGACGACGATTGCGATGAAAATAATAAAAATGGCTGCAACACTTCCTGGAGAGTGAGAGAAAGAAAATCTGTAATGGTAACCATCAAGTTTGTTTTAGCCCTACAATTTTTTTTTCTACAACACTGTTTTCTTTTTATGTACTGGTATAATTTTGGTATAGCAGGTGTATTAAATCACAATCCATCGTTTTTCCTAAATACAGAAACTTTTGATTCCTCCCAAAGAAGAATCCCTGCATTAGGAATTATAAGAACAAAAATTTCAAATAGCTATCCACATCTTTTTTGAATATATCATTTATCCAACAACCATAGAACAAGCAACACGAAACTTTTATATATGGTCGACTCTCAGCCCTAATTCATCCTATTCCAATTCATGCTACAGTACATAAGCACTGTTTTTAGTGGACTTGAACGCTCGGCTGTTAAGCTACTGTAATGCATATCAGTGCAGTGGCTTTCTGTGAAGACTGCGTGTCAATAACAAAAGAAACATGCCAGAAACCCAACAAAATCATTTGTTTTGTTTGTGCCAAGCGGGAGGTTCATGAGATTGCATTTCACCTCATTGTTACCTGATTGGTCCGACCCATATAGCACTACGCTGGCCTCCACTGATAATACATCTCTGTGGTACTGGCTTTAATCTTCTTCTGGTAAATCTCTAACTGTGTCAGACAGGACGTGATGACCACTTTGCCAAGATAAGATAATTCCTTTTCCTGAATCCTGACTGCTCAAACTGACCTTTGAGCTCAATAACTAATCTCCTGGTTAGAAACTGGATCAAGCACCCTCCTAAAGCTGTTTGTGTAGCTGCTTAGGTATGTACAGTAAGATTGTACAGGGGAGTATATTCATATAGCTGTCTCACAACAAGTCAGTCTTCTAACAATCAGTCTGCACTTAGAATAACATCAAACATCTTTGATGACCCCAGAAATAACAACAATTGAATCCTGAAGAAATTAGTGCAACACTTACTAGAAAAACCTCAGCTATTTCAATACTGCCCTTTAGATAATATGGCACATTTTTCAGCAGTAAACCAAAAACGACTTTCCAGCAAAGTCCTATAACTATAGGAAAAAACTGAAACCCTTCAGGAAACGTATGTGGGATCCCAGTCAGTATTTCTTCCTATTAAGTTTTGATATCAGGGTCAGATTTCAGTTCCAGCCGAGTTAAAAGATCATGCTTTTCATTCCTTTTTAACATAACATAATGTAACCAAGGAGCTGTGACGTTCACAACCCATAGATGTCATAAAAGTTCTGATTGTTTTATCAGATCTAATGGTTAATGACGGCATGAAGGACAAAGTTCCTTTCCAGAAAAATAGATAAAAACTGCTGCCATAGAGGCTTACTTAAGAGCATTTAAACAAAAAAGAAAATCATCAATAATTAGTGGTAGAAAAGAGTTTTAAGGGTTGCTTAAAGTGTCCTTACAGGAGGAAGCCAATAAGCTTCTTGTCAGAGTTTTTTCATCTAGTGACAGTTCTGTAACAAGTGGCTCATCCTGCTGCAATAACTGACATGGTGAAAATGACTGAATGTCACAGGAAACAGGTCAGTTGTTCTAATGTTTTGTAAATAATAAAATGAGCGGTGATAGAGCTAGCAGACAACCTTTGCTATTGAAATGGCTGCTCATTGATTTCACTCCTTCAGTCTTTCAAAATACAGTATACCAGAGCTAAATGGCAATCCCTGTATAGCTCAGCTTTGTCAAACATTTCAGTGACACAGGTTGAATCAGTGGTCAAACCTGAAACAGTCCGATTTAAAACAAGATAGACCCTTGGTTTAAATTTTGCTGCTAAGCAGAGCAATGCCTACTGTTACAGTCACCTGGCAAGGCTCTGGCAAATCAAATACATGCAAAATCTTCCAGATGCTATTATTAAGTTTGAATTTTAAAGCCAAATACTAACGAGCATGGGACATTCTTCAATTTCTCTCAGCATTGGATACAACTTTCAGAGAGTTTTTTTTTAGCACAGTAACATTAACATTGAGAGTTATAAGGGACATTTCTTTACAACTTTTGGGACTGCATTTTAGGGTCCCTAAAGCATGGATTCCAGGGACTTTGTTGATGTAACAACTTTGTTGATGTAACAACTTTTCCTGCATTGGTAACGCCGATAGAAGTATCATCGTATCCACGTATATGATCTTAACATCTACTTGATGATATGGCAAACATTTGGAACATTCATTGGTTTATGACCAGATAACTGTAAAACTAATGAGATGATCAGCTGTATTTTGTGTTTAAACTTCAATTCATTATCTTAATTAATTTAAACTGATTTCAAATATTTCATTAACAATTCAGAGAATAAAAATATTTGTGCATACCTGAGCTCAGTCCCTCTGACTTGTGTCCATCTTGTTCCAGTGTGACTGTTTGGGTTGTCTTGGTGGTGGTTGTCCTAGTGGTGATGGGACTGGTGGTGGTAGTCCTAGTGGTGATGGGACTGGTGGTGGTTGTCCTAGTGGTGATGGGACTGGTGGTGGTTGTCCTGGTGGTGGTGATCTTTTGAGTGGTTACTGAAGGGCTGTTGGTTTGTGTTGTGCTTGATGTCATGCTGGTATGGGTTGTGCTGGAAGATTGAGTTGTCCTAGTGGTGATGTGACTGGTGGTGGGGATCTTTTGGGTGGTGTCAGTGGGGCTGTTGGTTTGCGTAATACTTGAGGTTGTACTAGGAATGGTTGTACTGATTGATTGGGTAGTCCCGGTTGGACTGCTTATTTCGTTATTGGTGGTGGTGTTGTTTTGTGCAGTGGTGGTGGGAATCCTGTTGAAGTTAGTCATGCCGGAAGTCTCACTTTGTGTAGTGCCAGGGGTCATACTGGTGGATTGGGTGGTGTCGGCGGTGCTGTCGGTTTGTATAATGATGGTTGAGCTAGGAGTGGTGATGCTGGTGCTAGGGTCTTGGGAAGAGGAGGTTGAGCTATCTTTTGTTCCCGAAGTGACATCCTCAGTGCTGGTCACTGAGGAAGATGTGATGTCTTTGGACGTTGGCTTTATAGGTGTTGCACAGCACAACAGCAGACCTATAATAATGAAAAAAAAAATGTGTTATTGTCTATGCAATATCCTACTGTAACTCATTTCAACTCATATGTTGCTTCTCTCTGTCAGATCCTGTCCATAGACATATAGTCCATAGTTGCCACAATTTTTATACTTATTACACATTTTAAAATGATACACTCCCAGTTATATTATTGTAAAATACCAAAGCTTTAACAAAACAACAACTACAGATCATCAGCCAAACAACATTGGCGGTTAACACTTTCTAAGTATGTACTGTGTAACTTTGCATGTCACAAACCAGGTTGAAAAAGTGTCCCAAGAGTGTTATTTTATATCACCAAATTGAACACAGCCAACTACACAAACATGCAGAAAGTTATACAGATGACAGTTGATATGGCTGTTGTTGGGACATGCGTGCACACTTGGTATGATTTTTTCCTGTTTCAAAGCAGAGTTTCATCAGTGTTTCAATAAACAGGAAGTCAAAATAGCATGACACACTTAAGGCATTCCACCGTTTCAGTACTCTGTTCAAAGTGAAGCAGGACACTCTCTGAAATGCTCTCTATATACAGGCATGATGAAGAACTAAGTCAAGCTCTGCATTAAGGTTTTCAAAATTATTAATACCACATTTTATAAGGAAAAAAAGATCGATAGAATTGAAAAGTAGCAAAGCTTTGGAAAACCACAGACCTTCAGTCATAGTTTTAAACCCAAGACTGCCATTAGCAAAAGAGAGAGAGCACTGTCTTAATAGAACAAAAACATTGGCAATGAAACGTTTTGGGGCGATTTAATCAGCGTGCAGGAGTTTGCCTGAAATTTTTGGTAGTTAAAAACAAGAAATGACTCAATATTAGGTACCTTGGACTTGTATTTTTGTTACTATGGTAACGAAACGGGTATGAAAATGGTCATTTTTTAGTCCCAGTGTATAATTCTAGTATTGTGACAACTTCAGCCTTGCAAAACCGGTACATGTCCTTAGGTACCCTTACATGATTCCAGCTGTTGTGGGTCACAGACAGCCCCAGTTTGGAACAAAATAGAGCACTCCCTTAAGTATGTTAAAGATGTAGTATTTATTAATTCACTGCTTTCTTTTGGCTTTAATCATCTCTCATTCACACCCATGTTAGTGAGACCTGAGGGCGCCTGCAAAAATGAATATAAGAACATGTACGACCTGCATGTAAAACATGTATCTGATAGTTTTGTGGTAAAACCTTCACAGATTTCAAAACAGCAAGTCAAAGAAGAAGAAAAAACAGATTTCCTGTCTATGATCTTTATCTGTGTCAACCTCAGTAAATTGTGAGGACTAGAGGAAATAATACTTAACCTCATCATGATCAAGAGAGCAGGCCTAGTGAAGGTAACTATTTTTGACAACATTTTTTGTTGAAAGTTCTTAACCACAACTGTGAAATCTGTCTTGAAACAGGTGTTACGCTTTATTAAACAGGAAATGTATCAACCAAACAGGAAATAAAATAACAGTCTGAGAGTATTAAGAATTTACATAGAAGTTAAAGTGATTTACAGTTTTTTACCTGCCTTATTCCTCCTAAGCCTACTATTAATCTTAACACTAGTTATAGCATCTTTTAGCACTATCAGTAATTTTCTTCACTATCTGAACTATTTTACGTACTAAAAAAAATAGCATTAAACAGACAGACTTTCAAGCTCGTCACCAAATGACAAAAAAACATGCATTGATTGAGTTACTCACATGTTATTAGAGTTTGTAGGCCGACCCTCCCCATTGTGTTCCTCTTACTGTAAACCTCAACAAACACGTGTGTAGCTGAAGCTCTGTGCTCTGCGCTCCCTGAGGACAGCTGTAGTGTGTGTGGCTGCCACTGCCTGTAGGTGACTAATCAGAAGAGCCTGGGGGCGAGGCTACGTGATGACTTCACATTCAAACCTTACAGAGCAGATTGCATAAGGCTTTGAAATGAAAGGAGGAAGTTACATTGTAGGTGACACACTTACTGGTAATATCACTTAAAGTTAGCTCTGTTAGAGTTTGTATTACTGGTTTGCTACATGTAAGAGATTATGTTGGAACTGGTATGATCAATATCCATATGCATTTAGGATTAACTATGATAGCATGCAGTGAGTGCAGGATTTATTTAATATTTTACCTCTTTCATCATCCTCATTAATGTCACATTTCCAAACTGGTTAATACGTTTGCTGTAATACATCGATTTCCATATTTATGTACATCCTATGTATTTTCTTGGGTTTTATTATAATTCAATCAGTGTTATCTTGGTTGTAATTAATAATATATTCCAGCAGAGTGCAGCACTCGCATTCAGAAAGTGGCTTCGGCTTTTCAGGCATCAAATAGATTTAACAATAAATTGTATCACCACATTCAGATAATCTGAGTTTATGAAACAAAATAAATCATTTAAGAACTGATGCACAGATTCAGCCATTCCTATTCCCAAATAGAAACATATTTACATAACTTAATTGAACCAGGGGTTCCCAGACTTTACCATGCCATGGACCCCTCATAGCATTAGCCTGTGGTGAGGACCCTCCTCTTATGAAATGTCTTCAAAGGAGAGGATACAATGAGCTTACTATATGATCAGACATTAAGGAAATATGCTTTTGTTGAAGTGCTGGCTTCTCTGACAACAATGCAGCAGCCAATATGTCCCATTAAGTTTAGATTCCGGTCCTGAATTCTCTGTTTTTGTTTGGACCAGAGAAGGTAGGCTGTTTTAAGGCACCCTCACATCCCTGTTTTGGGCGCCCCCCCTCGGTTTGCCAGGAAAACAACATACCAGCACTAGTAGCAGCGATGGAAGCAGGCAACCGTACTGGTTCAAATATAACTGATTCTTCCCCTAATATCCTCTGCATCCAGTTTCCTTATAACAAACACAAAAATAATCTCAGTATGTTTGAAGTTAGCACTATGAAACTTCCTACCTGAGTACTTAGAGATGCAAACCTTTTTAAGCATTAATAAATGACTTTGGTCTCTGTACATGGAGTGCACACTCTAACCACTGATCAGTGAAATTTGTATTTTCCACACAAAAAAAAGAATAAATAAGCTTGTAAAATCTCAGAAAGTATTTTGAATGGCGGTTTCCTGAGGTAAGACGTGACGTAAAAAAACAACGCGGAAGGAGTGGCCGAAGCAACAGAGTCCGCTACACAATGTTATAATGAGAATATTTGCCTTTATATCAATGCTATGTGTAATCCAATGGAATGACAACATCCATAAAAGAGAGGAGAACAACATACTGAGGAACAGAAAACAAAATGCAGCCGTTTAATTACGTGCACGGAGATTGTAGTGGTCGCGTGCCGGGGCCGGAAGTAACGTCCGATGCTTGGATGCAAAGAATTTTCCACGATGATTTTCTGTCCTCGAATTATACGAGTTAGTCGAGGAATCGTTGCCACATCTCTGAGCCAAAGTGGCTGCATTCCCAATATGCTAAAAGATTTGGCACACGTGGGGACTCTGAACGTGGGCACTTCAGAGCCTTAGAGAGAGAGTCAGAAGCGAGCCGGTGCATGGAGCGGCAGTTCATGAAAACAGACACTTTTTTCAAACTTTATCTATTGTGAACATACTTTAGTAGGTACATAGATTAAATATATGAACCCCAAAAAGGGCATCATATGGGCTCTTTAAGGCGTTATGACAGCTGAGCTTTGTGCGCTGTTTAAGAATTGCACAATGACAAAATCTTTTACCTTTTTTTTTGCTTTGGGTCAACATACCTGCTGTGTTAAGAGAGCTGCTGTTGATGCTGCTGCTGTCAGCTGTGGCGGCTGTGATTGTGGCTGGTCCATTCTGTGTTACAGATGTTAGGTCAAGAGATGAAGAGGTTGTGGGATCAGTGGCAGTAAGGGTTGCATCCCTGGTGGGATTAGCTGAATATGTAACGGTTACATCAGCATATGAAAGGTCAGGTTGAGGAGATGGAGGCTGTGCTGATGTGGTCGGTGCTGCTGATGAAGGTTCCTCCATCACCTCCCTCTTCTTAGACGTTGAAAGCAGAACAACTGCAGAGGTTTGTGGTAGACTTGAATATAGTGATGAAGCTGAGGTTGAAGATGGTGGGATAGTTGAGGCTGCCGTCTGTCCTGTTGGAGAACAGGAGAATAGAAATCAAGTTTTCACTACCTTATTCATTGCATAGCTGTCTGGTTTTGTGCATTTGGTTTAGGTGGTTTTGTTTTACTTAGCAAATGTTAGCATGCAAACACACTATCCTAAGGTGGTTTACATTATAGCTGCCAACTATTGGCAAGTTTATGTTGGTCCCAACATGTTTACAAGCTGACACTGCCATTCAGTTAGAAAGTGTACTGACAGTGAAAGCAGCATAACAGAGCTGCTAACATGGCTGTAGAATATTTGCCTTTAACTAAAGCGTGTAATCTTGAGTTTCCATGAGGAATTCTATTTAAAAGAGACAATTATCTTACCACTGGTGTTGCCCCTAGCATTGCTGGTGTTGGTGGTGGCTGGTGAATTTCGGGTCACAAATGTCGGATCGGACCTGAAGTAGAGTCCTGGGCTCTGGTAGATTGGAATATAACAGAAGGTTCATTCCTGATGGTGATGGTGCTTGTTTGTCTGTCTGTCAGTTGATTGAAGGATTGAGTAGAGACTGGAGAGTTGTCATCAACATCCCTGGTAGGCTGAGTTCCATTCGTAGCAGGTTGAGTAGATGGAGGCAGGACAATTGTGGTTGGTGCTGCCGCTGAAGAGGATTCGCTTTCAGTTTTAAATGGAGGAACAGTAACAGAAGGAAGAGTGGATTGTGGCGCACTTAAGTAAAATGATGATGAGGATGAAGATCTTGGCATGATGGCAGCTGCAGTGGGTCCTGTTGGAGCACAGGAGAATAGCCTTCATGCAGTTAAAATTGAGACCTTTCATCAAAAAAAATATCTTTAAAGTTTGTCCTTGGGCAAGACACTTAAAAATTAATAAATACATTTTTAAAATCTCAGAAAGTATTTTGAATGGCGGCAGAATCTTTAGCACTACTCAGACTGCCGTTACAAGGCATGATGTTTACAACCTGTGATGTTTCACTTCCAGTATGAATGTCTCAGAGGTATAATGGGGGCACAAAGTGATCCCCTTTCTTCAGAGGTAGTAACAGAGGCACTACAGAGGGAAGATGGGATCAGCGGAGTGTTTGTGTGAAGAGGTTGCGGGATCAGTGGCAGTAAGGGTTGCATCCGTGGTAGGCTGAGTTACATTCGTAGTAGCAGGTTGAGTAGATGTATGCAGTAGTGGAGCAGCTGCATACGATAAGAGGAAGATAAGAGGAACCTAATTTTTTAGATGGGCCAGTGCATAGACTGATACAGTTTATCTGTGAAATGTAGATACTGATTTGTATATTGTCCAATAGGTAACAAAACATGTATGTAACTCTCACAGTGAAGAGTTTTAAATGCTGCATTATACAGTAGGTTGATTAACCTTGACAATACAATGACTATGAAGAGTACAACATTATTCAGTTGACATCATCTACTTACATTAAAAAATTGTCAAACAGAAAGACTTACTTAAAAAGGCACAGCAGAACAGCAGCCCTGCAGAGTAGAAAGATTTTTGTTAACTATTTTGAAAATATAACTTTACAAATGAAGCTTTTGTAAATCAACAAAAAAAATGATGCATAAGAGTGACTCTTGATCAATCAGTCAATCTTTATTTTTGTAGTGCTAATTCATAACAAGTGTTGTCTCAGGAGGACTCAGTGTGTGTGGAGTACACACACTTAAAAAGCACATGCAAATATAAAATTCCCTTATGATGATCCCCCTATTTGTTGCAGCCAAATAAATATCATAACACAGGAATTAAAACAGCACCTATCTACATCGTGAATTAAAATAAATACAGTATGATCATTTAAACATAATAACTTTTTTTTAAACTGATTAAGATTTCAAGAATTTTGACACTTTATTTATCTCATTTTGTTATCATTAAAGAAAATATATATTTTTAAATATTTGTAACTATAGTGTAGGATTTAGAAAAAAAACTTTTTATTTTGGTAATGTGCATCAAACTGCATTTTAAAAAGCCGCTGAGAACCATAAAGCACTTAATAGTAACCCTGTACTAAAAAAGATTGGACATTCGTTGCCTTTAATACCTGAACGTAACTCTACTGTACATTTAATTTAATTACATTTTTATTAAATATATTTTTAACATTTACAAGTTACATGCTCTTCTTTGAAGCCAGTATAAATCATGATTCTGTAAGCGTTATAATTCCAGATCCCACCTCCTGACTCTGTTGTGTCAGCGACCTGATCGAACAGTGAGTTTCTGTTTCTCATGAAATGACACTTTATCAGTCACACCACCAACTGTTCTGAAAGTCAAACTTCTACTGTCTGTTCTTTGATTGTTAAAGGCACACTAACACAGAAGAACCTTTGTCAAGCCTTTGAGGGTTTTATTTATTTATTTATTTAAGAGTTAAAGTCGGTCAGTGAGAGGATTTTACTTTCAGTAAAATTTAGGTAAATTATTATAATTTCTTTTTAGCTTTATTAATGTAGTTTTTGGTTTTACTAATTAAATATAATTATTATCAAAAACATTTAAGATGAATAAAATAGTCCTGCAGTAATATTAAAGTGACTTTAACAGGACATTTTTTAAAATATTTTGCAGTGAATGTTGTCTTTACACTTAAAATAATGATCTGTTGTATCGTGATGAGAACAATTCTGGATTGATGAAGTATGAATTGATCATAGAGCCCTGACTTTGCCAAAAAAATCAGGTTTGTGCTGCATACATTTCCCAGTATGTGTATCTTAATACGCTTT